CAAGCACACACACACACAAACACAAACACAAACACGCACACACACGCACACACACACACACAAGCACGCACACACACACACACACAAACACACACACACACACACACACACATGCGCACGAAGAACTAAAAACCAGTAAATAACCAAACGAGTATAAAAGAAGATTACCTGAAAATGACGCCTTCGCATTGCTCTCGTCGAGGCGTGATTAATCGAGTGAAATAACAGCGTCCATGTCGGTCGCCTGGTTAGTTCACTCTCGGGATCCTAGGCTTGGATTTATTATCCTTTTACGCTGATCTTGTGGTAATTATAATAATTGTAGTAATACAGATAAAGATAATATGAATGGGGATACTCACTATAATGATAATGATGGTAAAAACAACGGAATGATGATAATGATGGCGAAAACATGATGGTCATAATGATTAAGCATGGTCATGAGAACCGCAATAGAATGATTATAATATCAATAACTTTTTTGTAGTGTGATAAGAAGTACCGTTATCACTACTGTCATCTATATCGGCTGAAATTTCTACGCAGAAAATAACATGTTTAGGCTTAAAACAGGTGTATGTAATCCGACATTTCAAAACACTACAGTAGATGACAAAATTTATCAGTGGAGAGTCATTTATAAACATTATATTTCCGCCATTCTGTCAGACTATGAGGCATTAGATTTTCCTTGCTGCCAAATTTTATAATTCGAAAAAAAAGTCTATGCATAGGAAAAGAGGAACATCCATAGATTTTCCATAACGAACCCTAATTCAAACTTATGAATAGCTTTGAATAAATTTTGTATCTTTATCTTCAATATTTTCTTCATTATTTTATTTTATTTCAGAATTTCAGGAAGTTATATTTTATAGTTATATTTTTTTTCGTTGTTTTCTGTTTTGATTCAAGTATTTAGGATTTACTAAACTGCAGTATAAACTAGAAACGGGAACAGATGTTAATTACGACTGAGTTACCTATGAGTATATTAATATACAAAGTCAAAGGTTAGTCATCGCCTGTGCAATTGAGAAATGCCGCGCCAATTATAACTGTGCTTCTGATAGAAAGGTTAATTGCACAGAACAACTATTTCATCGCCGAACTCATTACATTTCTCAAATTCGAATGTGTATTCATATCATTCTAATGAATGTTACGTACTCCTACGCACCCCTCCACATATATATGTATATATGTATATAATATATATATTTATTATTATTATTATTATCATTATTATTATTAGATCCTTCCAATTTATGTTGCATACACAAACACACACACGTGTGTATGCGTATTGTACATGTATACACACATGATATCCTTATTGAATGTTGATATCCTTCGTGTTCGCTTGGCGAGGGCGAACACTGGTAATCCTGTTGTTTGTACTAGCGGGAATAGCTTGTTGATGTTAGCATAATGATTGTTGATGATGCTAGTAGCGCTTGCTGACCAGTCGGTAATTTCGCTGATTCGAGAGAGGTTATATTTTCCTTTCTTTTATCACCAATCCTATTCCTCTTTCCTGATTTTTGGTTGGCTTCATTGATGTTACCAATTGTTTGTTTATGATATGTTTTCTTAGTCGATCGTATTTTTTGTCTTACCTTTTTTTGCTAAGCACTTTGTTGCATCAATGTTTCTTGTTTTGTAGGCCTTTTGTCTTACCAGGATAAGGTCTTTGATCGTGTTGGTGACATAGTTTATCCTGATGGTGAATGGCTGATCTTTTCAAAGAGAAGCAGTTGTCAACTTGATTCCAGATTGATTTATAGAATAGTTGGCATTTCGCATTCAGATCTGCATGTCATTATCCGAACTAGTAAATTTTAGAATCAGAAAATCTACGCACGAGTTTTGTTCCCTTTGAATCCATGGGGTGCTTGGTATCCAGTGCAATCCAGTGCAATGACAGATGATCACTATTGCTTGACGTGGAAGGAATGTCGGACTTTCATAGAATTGTTCTGTTATGATTTTGCCCAAGGAACTTTTTATTTACGCGCGTTGGAAAGGTCACAACCCGCTTGGAGTTTAATGCGTTAAGGTTACCTAGTATGATTAAGAGAGATAACTTCGTACTTGGAAAAAAAACCCTTTCCTATTATGTGTTCTCTGACTATTTCTTAGATAGGTAGCCAAGGTGGGGGAAAATAACCCGCCATTTACCGATTTCGTGATTTCGCAACCATCTGGACTGAGCTGCGAGCCGTAATGTTTCAAGGTCGCCAGTGGGAGTCGGACTGAGGGAGAGAGAGAGAGAGAGAGAGAGAGAGAGAGAGAGAGAGAGAGAGAGAGAGAGAGAGAGAGAGAGAGAGAGAGAGAGAGAGAGAGAGAGAGAGAGAGAGAGAGAGAGAAAGAGAGAGAGAGTATGTGTGTGGGGTGTGTTTGTGTGTGTGTGTGTTTGTGTGTGTGTGTGTGTTTGTGTGTGTGTGTGTGTGTGTGTGTGTATGTGTGTGTGTGTGTGTGTGTGTATGTGCGTGTTAGTGTATGTGTGAGTGTGTGAGTGTGTGTGTATGTGTGTGTATGTATGTGTGTGTGTGTGTGTGTGTGTGTGT